AAGATCTGACGAACGTTCGAATATTTGAAGAATTAAAAATTTAATTTTGAATTAATTTCTTTAATTATATTTATTTCAATTTGCAAGTGAAGAATCAGAGGATTCATATTTAGAGATTGTACCCAATATTCTCACATATTATTATTTGCGATCAATTTTAAGTAAATACTTAAAATTTGTTTCACACTACGTATTACAAAAGTGGCTCTAAGAGGCCGTTTGACAACACTGTTTTTCGGCTTATCACCCATCTTTTTCACCAAACACGTAATTTTGCTTTCGCGCACTGAATTGTGTAATACGCAGAAAAAGTAAGGTTGACGTTACTTTTCTGGCTGTATTGGCTGAAGTTACTGTAGATGACCATTTTAGCTATTTTTACATATAATTTTTTCTTTATTTTATTAATCAAATATATTTTAAAAATGTTTTTTTCTTAAATAAATAGAATCAGCCACTTCAGCCAGAACTTCATAAATTTCAGCAGAATCAGCTGATTTTCGTGTTACCAAACGGGCATTAAGTCTTCACAAGTTAGTAAATTTTCAGTAAAAATGTTGAATTTCCTGAACGACTTGAATCATCAAAATAAATAAAAAATATGTTGTAATTGAGTAAACATTTCAATGTAATGAATATTTCAAGGACTAAAAGAACTATTTAACCAAAAATAATTGAGTAATTTTCAACGAGAACTTACCAAGAAGGGAAAGTGTACTGTAGCAAACATTAAACTAGGGATATTTCACTTTTATTTAGGAAACTTTATCTTAAATATCCCTAATGCCAAAAGAATTAAAAGGTCAAATGTAAGAACAATAAAAAAGATGATAATGGTGATGTCGCTCACTTGGGTGAACATCCACCTCAAGTCTCTCCCTAGAGATAGCTATTGGGTTCAACTAGGGTTGGATCGGGCCCCGGGCCGGGATTCGGGCGGGACTTGGTTGGTAATTGAAGGCTCGGTACCGGGCCCGGGTTGGTTCCAGACCAGGAAAGGGTCGGGTCTAGATTTTTTTAACTAGTATTTCACCCCGTGCGTTGCACGGGATGTAATATGCACCTATTATAAACGTTAGTTATAAAGCATTTACAAATCATATTATTATTTTTCATATCAATAGAGAAATTGTAAACAAATAATAATAAATATTACAAGTTTAATAAGCACACAAATTTCAAATAATTCAAGACCTTATAGACAATGTTTTTTTGTAGTTTTTTTTTCAATGCCTCTTCGTCACATATTACGAACTTTAAGTCAAACGGTACGATCTTGTCACACTCGAACCCGCAACATACATATGTTCACGCCTAAAGAGAGGACGTGGGTTAAAATTGTAACGGTTTCCCACGATTGCCCTTAATACTTGTTTATTTTGAAAGAATACTTGTCACCTTTTGAAATTATACTATTTTGCACATTTAACTTTGAACATATTTAGAGTGTATATGTTAACCATGCACCATACAATCTTATTTAAACAATTTATGACCTTCCCGTTTGATTTATTAAGACAATAAGCTGTAATTTAATGAGTCAATTTGTGGATTAGAATGCTTAAGAACTTCCATATACACATCAGAAAACCTATGTCTAGATCGACATGATTAAAAAATAGGCATAGATTATTATCTATAATGCATGCATATATGGAAGTTTCAGTTAAATATTTTCAAAAGTAAATAAAAATGATTAATTAGTAATGAAGAAACCTCTACTGTGTGTCACCTCCGCAAATTTTATTCTACTTTGTAACTGAAAGTGCAAATGATCATGGCCTATAATAAATAATGCATATAACTTAGAAATTGAGGCACTATGATGCATTTACTCACAGTTTCACATAGTGAAACCATTTTCTTTAATTTTTTTATCCAACTCCGTGAATTACATACTTTAGTCATTTAGCTTATGGAAATTTGTCATTTACATAAGTAATTTACTATTTTGTATAATTTGAACACACACATATTGTAAAATTTAATAACTACTAATTAAGAACATTCAACGTAATTCCATTTCTAATACGATTTTTCATCGGGATGAGTCATACCAATATGTGATGTTGATATTATTGCTTCTTCCATAGTTTCAGTGGATTATGTTTCTCCTCAATATTATTGTCTACCCTTCGAATTTTTTTATAGGCATTTTGATGTGGATATGTGTATTCCGTGCATACAATACAATATTGTGTATGTCTTTAGATGTTAATTAGGTAACATTATCTAAATGTGAACACTTACTTTTATGAGTTGGTTAATCTTATGGATTCTTAACAGGAAATTTTAGTAGAATTCTTTCGATTAAATTAAAATGATTAAATTAAGATGAAGTATATAAATATATGCATAATTCTTAGAGTTGTTTGTTCCATATGCATAATTTATTGACCATAACAATGTTCAATTTTACACCTTAGCGACTTTTATGATGTATTAATGGTAGAGATTTAGTCACAATTTAGTCATAAATTCTAGTTAATGTTAAGGACAGCCTTTTATATTGTGCATATTCCTAATGTTAGGAGATTGTTTCCATTTTTATGCTTAAGAATGAAAGATGTTTTATTGATGAAAAGGAAAATAATACATGCTCTAATGAGATAAGCTATTATTATTATAGAAATTAAAAGAAATTACAAACTACATGGAAGGCTTCAAACTAAAGACTTGAATGAGGAGCTAATTAGGGGTCTACCAATAGAAAATGTCACTACCAAAACAAAACAGTAGGTCCGTGTAGTAGAAAACTTTTGTGTAGTCCTTAGCTAGCTGAAGTTTGATCGATACAATGCCAATTTTTGTGCATCCTACTCCATGTGCAACAAAAACTTGTTAACAAATGCTTTCACATGAATATCCTATCAACAATTGAATACCAAATATTTGACCTGCCAAACTACTCCAGTTATTCAGTTGCAATTATCCAAGTAATAGGACAACTCAATCTTTCAATAAATTAAAATGCCATAAATATAAAGTATGACAAAGATCTCTGTAACGAAATACAAAATGCTCCCAAAGAAATTATCTCATCAAAATTTATAAGTGGCATGAGCTTTTAATTTCATGCAAGCTATTTTTTTAATTTTGATTTTTCTTATTTATTCCTGCCCCACCGCACTCCTCAATGCCCCCAAACCACCCAGCCCCACCCGTCTAGCACCCAATCCAACCGAAAAAATATATTTGGGCCCGGACCGGTCTCGGACCGACCGGGCCGATTCACCAAATAACCATCCCATAACCCGCCCCAACCCCCCCCCCCCCCCCCCCCCAGTTCAGGCTCCAAGGCCCGATCTCGGCCGGCCGGTCCGGTACCGCACAGTAGCGGTCCGGGCTGGGTTCCGGGCCGGTCCGAACCAGCACAGTCCAACCCTAGGTTCAACTCCCACATAAAAGAAATGGAAGAGTCTTGTTTCTATTGATTTATTTTACTTTCACGGGGTAGTTTTATGGTTGATAAAAGATTCATGTGATGAGATAAGTAATTTAGAAGGGACAAAAGATGTAAGTCTATTCGATCCTCAGAACATAAACCCGTCATGTGGATTATTAGAAAACGGCATACATAACTACTTTTTGGGGTCACGGTTAACTTGGCAACAACATTACTACTCTCTCTTACAGTTGTGAATCTATATAAAAGGACTCTCATAGACACACATGTGACATCTTAGAAGTTAGAAGTATTCAATAATAATAACATACTCCGTAATAAGCAATAATAAGGTTAGGCATACTCGCACGGGTAGCTCAGTTGATCGAGTGGTGAGAAAATTAGACGAAGTGACCAAGGTTCGAAACCCGCAGCGGCCGTGTGTAGGTTACAAAACCTGAAATAAGGCTGGACCTCTGGTGCGCACGTGTATAAGGCTTACCACCGCTTTGCAGACTGAGTCACTATGATTAACCTCCTCATTATCCTGTCGAGTCGAGGTGGGGGGTCTTGGGGTTGGGCATTCAACCTTTTTTGGACAAAATAAGGTTAGGCATTATAAGCCAACAATAGATGCGGCTAATGAGAAATTTTGTTAAGCATACTCCGTAGGAGTTCGGTCATCCTTATTTAATGAACAATGGGTTGGGTAACACTAATTTATTGAATTTGTTCACCAAATAGTGCAAATGTAAAGGTACAATCAACAAAATAACAATGTCGATAAAATATGTTTACAAAACGGCCATGTAACCTAATAAGGACGTTTTCTTATTTAAGCATAAAAAAGTAGTAATTCACCAAATAGTGCAAATGTAAAGGTACAATCAACAAAATACCAATGTAGATAAAATATGTTTACAAAACGGCAATGTAATCGGAGCATACTTGAACTTATCGGATTAAACGTGGACAATTATAAACTACACAAAAATCAAACATTTATAAAATCAGACCAAATCAGATTAGAGCTTAAGATGTTTTTAATTGGACTGTAATTTGTTAGTCTGATCTGAACTCGTTTGGTCTGGTTTCTTTGAATTTTATAACCATCCAAGTCTGGTCTGGTTTGATCTGGGGGAAATTACTGTCCAAATAAATACATCCTAACAGATCACATCAAACCAACATACTCCATCCGTCCCGAAAAAGTTAGCCAAAGTTGACTTTCACGTGGATTAATATAGTAAAAATTGTGTGATTGAAATTTGTGCAGAAGAGAGATAATTAGTTTTAGCCACATACCGAATATTTCTTACTTTAAATAGAAATGAAAAATATTTTTTGGACATCCAAAAAAGGAAATTTAACCAAACTTTTCGGGAGGAAGTATTAAGGTACATAAAAAAACATCCTAAGATAATGCTCCTATCTATTCAAATAGATAAAGGGAGATTTCCAAAATAGGACTAAATAGAATTTGGAATTCCTAAATATGACAGGTATTTTTCTTCTCGAAATATGACTAAAATGTGTGTATTTACTGTCATATTTTAGTCATGACTACAAAATAGTTGATGTACGATTCATTCAACACCATTCAACACGACCGTATTTATTAACATAATGACATTATTTTCCAAAATATTTTACTTGGGCAATTTTCCTTACATAAAATTATGTTGAATCAAGGGAAAAGTATTAAAGAACAGGAGAAGTTTACGAGTAATAATTTACTGAAATCCCTGCAAATCGGGAGTTAGATATCTACATCATTCCCGTCTGACCCTCTCAATTAATGCATTCATTCATTAAAACACAAGAGTATTAGTCAACTATAAAGATAAATATGTAATTAGATAAAGATTAAAAGATGATTAATTACTTCTCAGACGACCCTATTTAATATACTGCACTTTCTTGGTAAACAGGTTTCGAAGAACAAATAAATTACTACTGCTTCGAACTGTTTCACTGGGAACTCCGCCACTGCAATCGCCGTCAGATGCGGCGGCGGCAGCAGCAGCTAGGGTGTTGCTCTCTTCACTTCGACAACTCAGATGGGTTCGGTACCCAATACACATCGGGACGTTCAAGTTAAGTGCTCGAGCTTTACGGACACCATTAACCACACCGCTGCGGGCCGCCGGTGAATTTTCCCGGCGAACATCGTTGCCTTCCTTCTTAACGCCTTTCCATACGTTCTTATTTATTTTGACAGTTTTATCAGCGTCGCCGTCGCGTTTAACGGTCTTTTCAGCGGATTTGGGCGGATTGTCGATGCTCCGGCTGCTGGCTCCGCCACTGCGACGCATCTGCCACACCGGGCTGCTCCGACCCAAGTGGACCCCGGGTCGGGTCGGACTGGTGGGCCATTTCCTCGATTTAGATTCACCGGCGGAGTTGCTACGAGAACAGGGTGCGCTACTCACCTTCCGATGAACCGACCCAGATCCAGCCCCGACCCGTGGCCGTGTCCCGCCGTTACCCGCCGATCTGCTTCGCGAAAACGGCCATATGTTTATGTTCAGCTCCGCCGCGGTGACCCCACTGGTCCCAACAGCAACGCCCTTCTTCTCCTTCTTCTCTTTCTCTTCGATTCCGCCCTTTGAGTTCTTCTTCTCGCCTTTTTTGAAAATATCCTTCCACCGCTTCGAGGTACTGACTACAGAGAAGGCGGAGGAGCTAACCGCCGCATGAGAGATATCGGGTCCGTCTGACCCGGAATTCCGTGACGGGTATGCGGGAGATATGGTTGAAGTTTGGTCGGAAGGGTCATCGGAGGAAGGGCGGTGGTCCTGCGGGACATGGCCGAGTGGGAGAAGCACGCCATGGGAGAATAGCTCATCGGCAGAGAGAAGGTCTGGTTGAGGCACGGACGGGTTCCGGACCATCCAGAACTCAAATTCGGGCGAGTTTGAGACACTGCTCCGTCTTCTTCCACTGGTGGACTGGGTGAGAATTGCAGGGACCTGAACCTCTATTTCTTCCATTTTTAGTCTCTCTCTCACCCCTCTTGCGAACATATAGCTATATAAGTGAGCTATATAGAAGCCCGAGGATGAAGATATGTTCCGTATGTATTTACGGTTGTCGAGTGCGCCGTATTTAATTTGGGTTTTTAAATAATCAAGATAATACAGTTCTATCTGTCTATCATTGTAAAAGTGTAAGAGAGTACATTCTGTATATCAGAACATGTACAAAAAAGTTTTAATTTCTGAAAGTTTAATATCTTCACCTACCTTTTCATATGAAAATCTTAAACTAATCTCCGTATCATAGCGTGTTAATGACCGATAGGAGTAAAAATGATCAATTTTCATAAGATGAGAATGAGAGTAGATCAAAGAGCGTAACTGTTTTACACAACATTATGAGACTTGGGGATCTGTTAAAAGAGACGTTGTCCTCGTGCCAATATGAAAAGGCAGAACAAATTGAATAAAATTAAATTTAAGGCTTTTGCAAATCTAACATTCGTCTTTCGCGTACTTCAATTATACATCAAAGCACATCAATGTGCAGTGACGATTCAGCTTAGGTGTACGTGTCTACTTCTTGCATACAAAAACAGATGATGATTCATATTTAGGGTCTTGATGAATTTCTTGTTCCTAAGAATAACCCTGAAACTCCCGAATACACTGATTCGCTGTTAGGTTGATGCAAACTCTCAAAGAGAGTGACTTTTTCATCATTCACCATCACCCTCACAAGTCATTCTCATCAAGAGCAAGATTAATTATGTGTGTTGTTTTAACTTCAAGGATGTTGTGATTATTTTTGTCAGTAATTTTAGCTAGAGTGCAAAAAGGTAATTTAGAGAAAAATTTACTTAATTTAGTGAGTCTCTTCTGTGAATATTTTTTTTAACTACCTATGCATGTTGATGATTATTAATGTCATGTGGTGATTATCGTAAGTCCCGAAGTTCAGTTGGTTGAGGACAAGCAAAAGCGTAATGGGCCGGAAATGTCTTAACGGGCTGAAATGGGCTGAAGAGGCCGAAATCCTATCCTAGTGGGCCGGTTGGGCCGAAACGGGCCTCGCCGATTGGGTTTCATACCGGGGTGGTGCCTTGGGCCTCTGAACAACAGTAGACCAGGATAATATATCCCAACACAAGTCCCCCAGTTTGTTAAGTAGTGAGCCTGTGAATCTACTCGAGAAAGTATACTCTTGCTCACGTTTTTCTTGCCTTCCCTGAATCGATGTCTTTAAATAGTCCCGAGCGCAAGGCATGCATAAGTGATGGGTGAGGTGCAGCCCCACACTAGGCACGACGGCGTTGAAGAGCTAGCCGCTCGTGCTGCATAAAAGCGGCGGTCCCGTCCCTGAATGGCATGGGCGGACCCGACCAAGAAGAAGAGACGATGGCGCTGAAGAGCCAGCCGCTCATGCTGCATAATGTGGCGGTTGACATCCCATATTAAGGATTGAGGAGCCCAACCGAGAGTAGGCACGATGGCTCTGAGGAGCCGTTCGAGCTGCATAATACGACGGTCGCCATCCCAGATTCGGAATAGACGAGCCCGGCCGAGAGCATGCACGACGGCGCTGAGGAGCCAGTCGCTCATGCTGCAGAATGTGGCGATCGCCATCCTAGATTAAGGATTGATGAGCCCGACCGAGAGTAGACACGGCGGCGCTGAGGAGCCGTTCGAGCTGCATAATACGACGGTCGCCATCCCAGATTAGGAATAGATGAGCTCGGTCGTGAGTAGGCGTGACGACCCTGAAGAGTCGTTCGTGCTGCATAAGATGATCAAGAGAAGAAAGGAGCTCTTATTCCCCAGCTCAACCCGAATCAACCGATATTACATGTACGGTCTGATTTGGACGGATCACTCCAACTAATTGGTCAAGGACGACTACCACACTCCATTAGCCATCGCAACATTTGGGTAGCCCAAACGTGTATGCCACGCACTTATGAACACGGCCGTAGAACCCCTTATCCTTTGGACGAGGTGTTTCACGTACCCGACTCTAATAGACATGGACCCGTCGGCCCAGGACCACTACGGGCCTCCCTTTGCTTTACATCATCTCCAAACCAGTTAGTATCCCCCGCTCACTATTCTTATCGAACGGATCGTTCTCGGCTGGCTAAAACGACGACTCACCCCTAACTCATAGTTCCATTCCCCCGTTCTTCCCACTAGAACGGTACGATGTACCTCTGACTCAGGTGAGAATTTTAGCTAATAGTTGTGATGCTAATCCGCCCGGTTTTCTCCGATCCGGATCATCCATGCTAATAGCCTACTTTCACCTCCAAACCATAGTTGAATGAGCCGTTCAGTTCTTCCAATACGATTCATCCATACTAGTGGTTGAGGTAACATTCGAGGAGCCTTGATCTCCTTTTCTCTCGTTTTCTCTCTGGGTTTTTCAAATGGAATCTCGCACCCACCCTTTATATATATATATATATATATATATATATATATATATATATATATATATATATAGGGGATGGTTCAAATACAAAGAGGTCTTCCCATGCAAAGTGAGAATTAATCTCGTGCGTTCATTTTGAGATCTAATGGCTCAAAATGAGCCAAAAGTGAACTAAATTTGATCAAAAACACAGTGGCAATTTCATAAAGTTTTTTGCGTGCAACAGAAACACGCAAAAGTGCAACGCGGTGAAGAAAAAGTGCAATTGTTCGCACTTTGCACGGGAGAACCTCTTTTTATTTGATTTCTTCCCTATATATATATATATATATATATATATATAGAGAGAGAGAGAGAGAGAGAGAAGATCAAGTGAGAAGTCCTCCTTAAGATGAGAAGTGAGAAGTAATCTCAGCCCTTGGATTTGCATCTAATCTTACAACACAGCAAACTTATAGACTGAATATAGTAACTTATAACCAATAAATCATAACCTATAAAGCTCTCCATCTTAATTACGGAAATGCCACCGCGTCAAAAAATTTTCCAGGTTTCTGGAGTTATTTGGACGCGGTGGCATTTTCGTAATTATTTTCGAGGGGGTCTATAAGTTATGATTTATTGGTTAAAAGTTTGTATTTTTAGCTTATAAGTTAGACCTCGCAGCTTCTTAGCCAAAGGGCACTTCTCACCTCCGTCCCATTAGAAGGTTCTCTTCCACTATTTGCATGGTCAACTTAATTCATTTTTAATCGTTTGTTTTATAAATCAAATTTTTATCAAATTTACATTTTTTTATCAGTCTTTGTAGTGGTTTTGATGTATTTTCTGAATATATTAATTTTATTTACTAAAACTAATCAGAGTGTGAACATGGATTAAGTTGCTCTATCGTCAGTCAAGCATCGTAAACCGTTCACGGGAACCTTCTAGCGGGACGGAGGGAGTGTATATATATATATATATATATATATATATATATATATATATATATATATATATATATATTTATATATATTTATATAAGACTGAGATGAACGACGGATTATCAATGTCTTCTTTATATATAGCATTTTAATACATATATTCAAGTATTAATATAATTAAATAGATTAACTGTTCAAGTCTAAGTGATTTTTCCTTAACTTTTGAATTTTCTAGCGTATCGTGAATTTGATTTAATATATTAATTTTTAATAATTATTTAAAGATAAACTTTATGTAGATTCAATTGGTAACAACTTTTCACAAATAAAAATACATACTAGCTAATTCGGTTACGGCGGGGCAGCGTAGGGCGGACCCGCCCCGCATGGGGCGGGTCATGGTTCAATAAGTTTAGACCTGTGAAGGTCACGGGGTGGGGCGGGTCTTGGTCTTGCAGTACCTGCCCCGCCCCGACCCATTGCCATGCCTAGTACCGGAGGGTGTTGGCCAGACCCTCGGCTTAAAATCCATGTTGGAAGGACTGTGCGAGGGCAACGCGACATCTAGAGTCGGGCTAGGGTGCGACGGACGGTGAGATGCCGGATCCCGAACGTCCTTTCGATCCGATCAGCTGGGGGCGCTAAACCATTGGACCCAGCCGCCGAGCATCCGAAGCAGCTTGGGTGTCCTTCAGGTCTGAGCCGCCATCGTGTGAAGAGGATCGTTGGGCGGTGCAGTGAGCAGGGCGGTGCTTGGTGAGCCGGACGTCCATCCTGCAAGGGGCCGAGCGGTGCAAGGAATGGAGCCGTGCAGCTAACCTTTAAGGGCATCTCAAGCCCATCCCAGAGTCGGTCTTTCAGGAGCGGGCGGTGGCACTCACATGCAGTATGGACCGGGCGGCCGGAGCAGATCAGATGAACTCAAAGGTGACAACCTTGGTGGATGACCCAGGCAGGGACAGAGATGGGCGACAAGGAGTGGAGACGGGCGGCCATCGTACCGTAATGGGCTGCAACTGTGAACTTCGTGAACTATGAACCTGTCAAAAACATGAATCATGTTTTCAGACTCCCCACGTGAAAGCAGGCTGCCACTTATCAGCTGGGGCTATCGCGAGTCCCACTCACCACGAGGATCTCCTGCTGCTCTCCCCTATGCTAAGCTCTCTGGTGGTTCATCCTCGGCATCAGTTATCTTTTGTAGAAAGTGAAGCTACCTCATCTAGCTGCAGTGTGGCCTGCCTACGACCTGGAGCTAGGAACTCCTCGGTTGCTGTCCTTCCCTCTGTTGAAGCCTGGAAGCGTTGTCTTCTTCGTATCAAAGCTAGTAAAATCAAGAAGAACATGTTTACGCTTTTTGATCTTTTCCCACAGACGGCACCAATGTTGAGTTTAGTCCAACATGAACTATTAGATATAGATCTAAATATGTATGAAATGCTCTGTTTTTACGTGGAAACCCGGAAAGGGAGAAAACCACGAGACTTTTTAGGCTAACGTCCAAGCTCGTTCTTCCTCATTAATGCTCTCATCACCATTTACATAGTTCATATTGTCGGAACCTCCATTAATGGAGTTGATGAGCTTATCTAACCTAGATATCAAGAAGATGGAGTAGTAGGAGAGAAGTCTAGCTCTCCCGGAGAGAAGAGGAAAAAGGATCCCTCAAATGGAAGCCTTGCTTCCTCATTTGTTGTATAGAGAGACATGTGATAGAGTATTAACTCTTAGAGAGAAGTGAGAGCTAGAGAGAGAAGTGAAATAAATGTGCAATGAATATATTTGTCAAGCCCCTACAACTACCCCCAATAGGAGTATTTATGGGAAAATATGGGCTGGGCTCCCAAGTCTTGACCTTGGGAGGCCCATTTACAATGAGACCACTACTGGGCTGAATACAGAGTATGTAATTTGACTAAGTATAAAATCTAGCCATTCGAAATCTTTGTGGCCGACGGAGGTCTGGCCGACGAAGACCCGGCCGATGGAGGACCCCCAATTCTCCTGGGGTCTGGACCATATTTTGAGTTGATGTTTGTCCGGCCAATGGAGGTCATCTGGCCGACGGAAGACCCACCTGATGACAGCTGTGCTTCGTCTTATTCTTCTGAGTATGTGAGCACACATTTTAGAGATATATGTGCTTGAGCACATTCAGTTTTATATATTTGATATATACGGTATTACACATTGATGATTAAGTATTTCGATTGTCAATATCTTATTCATAATTGTGTTCCCTTGGACTTATGTTGTCAATAAGTAAGTCGGAGCTTATATGATATAACATAAAATCCTAAAATATCCCGAATCAATGATCATCAAGAATGGGATATTGAAGATATGCGATAAGATTGGTATGTGGACTGCATCATACTGATAGAAAGTATAGTTGATCTCACAACTATGAGTTCATGTAATTCATGATGGTCACATAGATATTTTAGAGAATATTGGCATACCCACCGAGAAACCATTTGATAAGTTCTATTCATGTGTCTATGGGATTATCGGCGTATAGAGTAGTGTAATAGTCCTCTGACTTGAGGTCAATACGTAGTACATGTGCGGAGTGATGTACTTTGACCATGACCAATGCTTGCACTCCAATCGGGGTAGATACGGCATGTGTTGGGTGCATCACGAAGCACATGAAGTAGTAGTTGAGACAAGAAAGGATTCATTCCTCGTAATAGATTAAGAGAGAACATTCTACTTCTCATATCTAGATGGATCATAAAGTCATTGGTCAATGCAAAGATATATTTGTTTTGGATAACGAATATGATCTCAATGGATCATCTAAAAGGATTGAGAGATAGAAACTAGGTTATTAGAATAGACACAATATCATGTTCTAGACTTAGTTGAATGTTCGTTGAATGAAAGGACCGTATCACTATGAGCTCTATATTACAGGGAGTTTGAATAGTCCTCGCAAACGTCCTTATATATTAAGTTTGTCTGGTAAATCGTCTAGGGATTCTACTAAGACCTTAATTTGATTAATGCTTAATATATAAGGCCCTATGGGTCACACAACAAGTGATTATACCTTCCGATTGAATTGTTAGAAGGAATTAAATATTATTAATTGGATTAAATAATATTTAATTAGTAATACTGAAAATGGATTAAATATTGATTAGATTAAAGATATTTAATTCATGAAGTTGAAGGAGAGTTCTATTTGATAGAATTAATTAAGTGGAATAAATTAGGTTTATTGTACTTAATTAAGATGTATTTATTATTAAATAAAGTTGCTATTTACGTTTATGATTTAGAACTAAAAGGAAAAGAAAAGAAAATAAATAATAATATAGATATAACAAATAGAGAGTGGCGTGCAATCACTTCTCTATTGTTATTATTATTATTAATTATTTTGTTTTATTCAACTATTTAATTAATAATGAGTTTTGGTCCCAATAGGATTAAAACTCATTAAGGAAGAACATTTTCATTGTGATTGGGAAACTAGTTTAGAACTAGTATAAATACATCCTTCTCCTTCATAATTGATAGACAAGCTTTCAGATTCAGTATTACCAGTTTATTTCCCTACGGAGAGATTTCCTAGCCTTTCTCTTGGGGAGATCTAACCGTTCTTTCGGAAAGGAGAAATCACGTGGATACCAAAGGTCAAGGATTATCACCGCTAGGCTGCAAGATCTGTAAGTTCTAACTCAGATATGTTATTATTGTTATATTCGTTGTTTTGTCATAATCAGGGAAGATCTGTTTGGGAAAATTTTAAACTTCCGCCGCCGTACTTTCGAGGTACGTTACATCAATTTCCTAACAGTCTAGACCCATATACTCCATCAACATGCATGATAATTTACTGATACCATACCGTTACCGAACCGAAACTTCAATATACCGAAATACGGTATACCGAAACTTTGGTAATGTAACAATATATAAATTTTCTATACCAAAAGATTTGATATGGTCATATGGTAAAGGTATGGGAGAAAATATTCGGTATACCATACCGAACCACCCCTTGTTTAGAAGACAAAAGAGCTCTAGGATTGGCTACAACGTCAAAAGAAGACGAATAGAGCTTGAAAACGGCAATCAGGATGACGTTCTGTTAATCGTTCGAGCGTATCTTTTCGTAGAAACATTCAAATGATGTGAATAAAGTTGCATATGAAAGATAACTTAAAGGGCTACAAATCCTATGACTACACCATGATGAGAATCTTAGAGAATCAAGGTGAAAAAAGAGGAGGAAGTCAGACAATCGCCGTTGAGATTTCGGGATGCGGCCTTCCACCATTTTATTCATATCTTTTGTATGGATGACCCAATTCCAGTTTTGAGAGTTGTGATGGATATAGGACTTAATTATCTACAACTTAGGTGAGGAAAGTATAGTGAAATTCAGAGGGGATGTGAGCACACCATGCGCCCGAAGTACGCACGTCGTGCGCGAAAGAAGAATACACGGGAGACCTTACTGGAGGCCACGCACGCCGTGCGCGGCGATTTTTACGCTCAGGATGCTCTGGACACACGGGAGATAGCACACCGCGCGTGGGCGCTGTGCATGCACTTCAAGGGTCCCTTTCGGCCCAGATTGATCCATTTTTTTTATTTAAACAGCCTATAAACCCCGTTTTTTGTTAAAGAGCTTCTAGAGAGGCTTGTGATGAAATTTTGAGTGGTTTTCCGCTTTGATATTCAAGACCTTAGAATTATTGGTAAGATTAATCTTTTTAATTAATGACAATTAAATCTTTTCTTTTCAATTCTGTTGATTCCTCAATAATGAATTGTGAGTAGTTTTAATTCGGGATTTGAGATTGATGAATGAGTTAATTATGATCTAGAGTTAATTTCTTGATGATTTAATTGCATGATATTTTTTTAGTTTGTATTTGAATAATTTAATGGATATTTTTGTAACCTAGAACTGCAGCTAGGATTATAATTGCATATAGAATAAATTAAGAGAGATCTAATTTATTTTAGAACACTTTCACATACATTTAATCGTTCGCCAAGAGATTAGTAACAGTTGGGGAGCCGTACGCGCGCTTATTTTCACAATAATTTAGGAACTTATCGCATGAGAGACCAGTTTGGTTCCCTAAATTATTGTAATCTACATCGCGAGAACGGTAAGAACTTAGTATTGACCAACATTGCTCAATTAATTAAATTTCATATAATTAAGCCTGATCAACCCCGAGATCTGATTACCCCGGAATCAATTCATTTTCCCCTTTTCATTAATTAGAAAGAACCTTTTTATTTAGCTGCCTTTTCGCATTTTTTAATTTCCAAAAAATCCAATTCTCACACAATTGTATTTATTTTGAATTTTTTATCGTTGATTTTATTTAATTCTTGATTCACTTTTTCCATCCATGTGGAGATGATACTCGTACTTTAACCCTATACTGCTACATATTTTAAGTGCGATAAAACTCACATTAGTTTTTGAATAAATTAATGATCGTATTAATAATAAAAAACGTCATAACAACCAACATTCAGGTTTTATAACTGTACCATTAACTTTGAATAGTTTTCTAATATTCTGATTTCAGTTCACCCATAATGTTGAATTATTCTACTGCCCCATAAGATTGTGAAAAACAACAATTAGGTTTTAGAACGTAGAGAGAGGAGAGGCAGAGGGGAAATCCTAGCCGCCGCCTCCTATTCTTTTCTTCTATTCTTCTCCTCTTTCAATCTTTTTTTGAATCCAATCATGAAAAAGACTTTGTTTGATCAGTGTTTTCAGTTCCACATTTATGTTAATTTTCTAGCGTTGTCTAGAGATATTATTTTTGGTGGCGAAGTGTCGCTCGCCAGATGTATATTCCCCGTCATCATCGGTCGAGTGTTCTTGTGTGCTAGTAAGAGGTTTGTATTGGCTTCTTTATCAATAATGAATCATGTTTTCTTCTGTATCAATATAAAGGCCGATCGCCCTCCTCCTGAACCATAAACGATCCAAGAAGATGGAATTGAATGATTTGCTTTCTTTGCGGTGGCTGGTGAATGAGTTGCCTCTTACTAGTGGTTGGAAAAACTGGAAAGTTTAATAATCCGTTTCTGATGGATGGTCAAATCGGAATGACATCTTTGGAGGTGGTAGATTAAACCCCTTCTCCCTTGCTGGTGGCTAGTAAAACCAAGAATCGTGATTCTATTATTTCTTTTCAGTTTATGAACTCTAGTTTTTTAGCTCTTTGTTTAGTAGCAAGTACAATGATGCTGTTAGAATAGCCTACCATTGTATGAGTTAGCGATTTGACCTGGGCTTCTGGGGCTAGTCAGTGTTATGTCTCACTCCAGGGTTGCTCTGAGATATTGCTCTGCTTTGTCTATGTTTACTTTCATTATTATTAATAAATGAGAGTTTTTCTTTCAAAAACAAATAAATGTACCATTAACTTCAATGATCAATTCCCATAAATGTAGAATCAAACCATCAACCATATAGTATATGTGTATGCATCAACTATCCAATATATCATATATGTGCGTAAGTATA